ATAAACTATGATATACAGCAGTTCAGACTGATGAACTTCTTCAGATTCTCACTGAAGCAGTATATCAAGAAGTATTCTGATTTCTCTCAGAACTATATATCAGAACTGATATCTCAGAATACTTAATCAATGATAATAATACTCTATAATTTTATAAACAATGCTGAGTCTCTCACTCTGAACTCTTATACACTTGAATAATGCAAGAGATACATGATTTGTGTATAACTGATTATTCAGGCTGTGAACAACTGTATAGAATGATCTTCTGAGAATTCTACTGATCTGAGATATTAAACAGCATCAGATACTTCATCTGAAACTGTAATTACTGTTCTTCTATTATCTTATGAAAGAACTGTAGAAAAGATCTACTGAAATCACTTAATATCTCTGATAGAATCTGATAAGATGTAGTAATTGACTTCACTGTTGATCTATCTGAGAGCAAGAACTGCAGAAACATTCTGATCATCATTGACTGACTAAGTAAGAGTGTAATATGTAGAATAGTTGAAGGTTGTATTGATAGATCTATCTACAGAAACATAATATAGTGATGAGTCACGTGATCTAGTGGGATCGCTAACCGCAACGGCCGTAAGGGCCAACACCCTCTCTCAAGATAACAAGAATCAAATACAAAAACACTCAAACCATCAAGATAGTCTGTCAAAATCAAATACAAATGTAAAATTAAACATTCTCAACTTTTATGCCTGTAAGACCTAGTAAAATCATGAATCATGCAAATGTCACAGTGTCTAGAGATTTAGTGAGTTCATTCACTATTATCTGAGCAGTGAGAATGTATTCTAAATCAATGACCCTCTGATTCAACTGTCAACATGAAAAATGAAAATGCATGTCAATGTGCTTGCTTCAGGCTATAATGACTGTCATCTTTGTGAGATCTATGACACTCTTATTATCAGTGAGAATCTGTATCAGAGATGTAGTGATGAAGTCAAGCTCAATCATGAGGTTCTGAATTCATGTTGCCTCGCAGATCACCTCACTGAGAGCCACATATTCAGTCTCATTGAAACTTAGAGATACACAAGATTGCTTCACTGAATGTCATGAAATTGAGCTGTCTGTGAGCTTAAAAATGTAGCCAGATGTTAATTTTCTATCATCATTCAAGAGACCAGCTCAATCGGAATCTGAGTAGCTGAAGAGTAGGTAGAAATCATCGGGGAAATCAGGGGTAATGGAAGGATTGATAGGAACAGAAAAATCAGTAGAAATGGAAGAAACAGAAGAAACAGTAGAAATGAAAGGAACAGTAGAAACAGATCCCTCATACAGACCATGTCTGTAGAAAATGCCCAGATTCATAATCTCTTTCAAATAATGTATAATGTGTAATAGAGCCTTTCAACATTGAGATGTTAAATCAATGTTCTGTTAAGTGAGTAGCAAGGCAGTGTGAGTAATATCAGAATGTGTTTTAACTGTAAGATATTGCAAGCAATTCACATTATGTTGATATCACTGAATTATGAAATCAGCCTCTTTCTCAGGTATAGAGAAATCATCAATGCAGAATTCATTCTTCATTGATGTTCTGATAACAGCTGCATCATCAAGGTAGAAATCTTCAACAAGGCATTTGATATATTAACAATGTGTCAAATCAATTCTCTTGTCTGAATAATTGATCTTCATACTCAAATACTTGATTGACTGGCATAGATTCTTGACTTTCAATTTCTCACTGAGTATACTCACTAGTCAATTGACATTCTCAGAAGCTTCAGATATGATATTGAGATCATCAACATAGATCATCATATAGAGGTGATATCTGAATGTATGATATCAGAGTGCTGAATCATGAGTGCTGACTGTAAATTCAAGATTACTTAACAGAGCTGTTAAGTAATCATATCAGATCTTCACTGCAGGGTCCAGGCTGTATAGACTACTCTCAATCACACAGACAAGTATTTTCAGTGAACCTGTCTCAAATTCAGTGAATTGTCTCATATAGACCTTCTTAGTGAGGTATTCATGAAGATATACCATCACTATATTCATCTGACAGAGTGTTCAACCGTGTAGTACTGCTATTGTAAAAAGAATACAATTAGTAGTATCAGTGATGACTGAAGCATAGATCTCTTCTCTAGAATTCTTCTTAAGCCAGTTATCACAAATCACTCAATGCAATTTTCTAAGAATATCATCAGAATCAGCATTCAGGTCCGCGGGCCTATCTTTCTCAAGAAACACTCAACAGCCCGGAGCAATCAGTTCACCCCTTGAGATGTCAGATCTAGGGATCAAACTCCATGTATTGTGCCTCTTCAGGTCAATAATCTCGTGTTGCATGAACTTCTTTCAATAATCTTCTACCCCCCCTGGCTGTGATGCGGCATCCTTGTAGGACTTCGGGAGGTTACCTGTGACAGGGCTCAGAGTGTAAGTAGCCAGCGATTTCGCAGGCTGCAATCATGTGGAATTCGGATCATCAATATTGAAAGCATCTTCATCATCAACCAGATGAATATCAGGTTCCGGTTCCAGTTCCGGTTCGCTGGCATTATTAATGGGTGCCACAGATGTGACAACTGGTTTTTCAGTGATTGAGAATCTCACATCACTACTGGCAATAATCTTGTCAGATTCAGAATGTCATAGACAATATATTGATATGTCACTGAATTCAATGATACAATAGAAATCAGCATGTGAAGAAAGCTTATCTGCAGGTCACTGAGATTCATGCAAGTGAACAAAAATCTCTGCACTCAATCAGTGAAAATGCCTTACATTCAGCAGGGTATTCATAAGTGCACATTAAGAAATCTTATATAAACTTGGAATCACAGAGATCTCTGCAGTAGAGAGTCAAAATTTCAAGTTATAAAGAACTGTAGATGTGAGAGTATTATTAATTATTACAATCACTGTCTCTAGAACATCTGTTCAGAACTTCTTAGAAAGATTATCTTTCAAAAGAGCAGCTCTAACCTGTTCTATGATAGTATGAATCTCATGTTCAGAAACATCATTCTGGTGTGATGAATGTGGTGCTGTTGATTCTCATTTGATACCATATGAATTCATAACTGTGTGCATATGTGTGGATTGAAAAACATCATCAATATCAGTCTGTAGAAAAGCAGGGGCTGTATACCTGAGATTATTCATGAATCTGAGTCACAACTCAAAGTATTGAACAGCCTCATTCTTGAACTTTAAAAAATACACTCAATGATAGCAGGTCGCATCACAGATAATAAGTATTCAGTATTTCATTCTCTGACAGGACTCTAAGAAGTGGTCAGAGAGGTCTTTCAATGTACATCTGTTATCTGCAAGATCAATATGAACCTTCTCAATGAGTTGAATAGATCTAGACATCAGTGTTTTTGAATAATCTCACATCATACCAGCCTTGACATATTCCTTGCAAAAGAACTTAGTCTTAGAATCTTTAATTGTGACTTCAGTATAAGGATTCTTGGTCATAGCAATTATAGCATCAGCATGAATGTGACTGAGATTGTAATGTCAATTTAAAAGAGTCTTTGATATCTTTGATGTCTGTGTTTTCACATTCACAGAATCAACATTATTAACAGTAGTGACAGCAGCCATAGAAAGATCAACTTTTCAGTCAAAATCATACTCATGAGACATTGTAATATACTTGACTGCCTTATTCAGATGATTGGGATTCTCATTGAACTCTTATTCATCAATCTTATATATGTTATTCTGAGCAGTCTGAACTGTATGAAAAATAACATCATTCAGAGCTCTGCAAATGAAAAATGAGGGAATAGTGAAAGACAATGTAAATCAGAATCCCTGATCTTCAAGCTTCACAAATGAGAGCAGATTAACTGTAATATTAGAAATATAGTGAACATTCTGCAAGTTAACATCATCATTCTCAATCTTCAAGATGACAGTTTCA